GGGGGGGGGGGGGGGGCAGCAGGGATGGGGGCTGCTTCCCTTCCGGATTCCGCGAAGATCAGAGCAACATGGCCCGCCTTCTACACGTCCACGGCGGTGTTTGAGAATCGCACTAGTTCGGGATATAAGACAGGAATGTCGCAAACGAGAAGAGGCCTCTTGGTTCACGTTACTAGCTCGGCTACTAGTGACTAAGTGATCGGGGGTCGCGTCCAGTCGTTCCTTGCGAGAAACCAGGGTGGCGATTTCGATAACATGGGGTCTTTTGTGCCGGGCTCCCACCACGGTTTGTGCAAAGATGTCCCATAGCTCCATTATAGGTTAACACTAAAATGAACTTCAAATAAGGAATAAGAAAGTAACCGAGCCGTTCACAAGAACTGTATGAGTTATTGGTTTGCGTGCCTTTCAGGAATCTCGCCTTTATTGACTTTGTAGGTGTTTTCCCTTCGAAAAGGGTAAAAAGCAGCAACAAAATAGAAGCTCCAAGCCCGTCTCTGTGTTATGTTGGGGTACTTTAATCTGTTCTTGAACAAGATCGCTCTCGCTTTGGTGCTCTAGGGTCCTTGTCCCTGCGGGTTTCCCACATCTCCTCCAAGAGGCAGGCAGCAAAGCCCACGACAGAGCCAGCAGCGACCTGCTGTAGGTCGTTCGGGTTCGGGTTCACGTGTTCCGGGTTCAGCACTCGGGATTAGTGAATAACAAACCAGGCCACAGCTGCAGACTCCGGGTTTGAGGAGGTCGCCTTGTTGGTGCTCACAGAACAAACCCTTCAAGTTAGAAGTGAGTTCATTCCATAGAAAAGAGTCTTCCCACTGGCTGCTACCTACAATAATCCTCGTTGTAGAGAGGAAATGAGGGCATTCCCAGGGAGGGCGTGTTCTAGAGTTCACACTGCAGTACAAGAAGCGGTGAATGGAATTGTATCAAGAGGTGTAAGGCGTATTAACATTTGTATATTTATTATTTGGCTTGAATAAGGGGTACATTTAGGCCTCCGGGTCCTGTAGGTTGTCAAATAACAGGATATTATTATTGTGAATGTCATCGTCACAACTCGCCTGCTACTCTAACGCCCTCGATTCGGTTTTCGATTCCGTGATTCCACGTCAGAAGAAAGCTCCTATCACGAGCCCCCCGGCGTGGGGAGCCCCATCTCAAAGCGCTTCCGCCACAAGCTCGCGGCAGCGGGGGTCCGCACAGCACGTGTCCTTAACCCTCTGTGCGCCAGCAGAAACCACGCAGTGTGGAACTGAATTGTCATTCCACCCAGAGGCTGCCCGCTCTGCCTTCTTACGGACGGGCGGGTCGCCATATCTGGGCTGTGAAGCCCTGTGTGATCTCTGCTGTAAAGAAAGGTACCATACTTCAGCGCGCTGAGAAGTGTTTGAATCTCATTTCTAAAGCAATTGAATGACGATGCAATGTAAGTTACAGGTTTCAAATATCGTCAGCTGCTACAGTACCTCTAATCTCCTGTTTAAGGCTAAGGCTTGGAATTCTACAACCTCCTTTCTACCACACAGGAGACAAAACTCGTCCACTGTTTTCATTAAAGCTCGGAAGCACGTGCTGATTCATGCATCAGTTTCCCGAAGTGCTGGCGAAGCACACGCGCCAGCTCTTTGCAGGAAGGCGTGAGACGCGGGTGTTGCGGTACGGAGAGGTCACGTGCACAGAAAGATGAACTCTGGAAGGGTAAAGAAGATATGTCCTTGTCTATCAGTCCCTTATATCCGATTAGTAAACATTAGAATGACCAAAACGAGAATGACAAATGCCATAAAGAGCATAACGTATTACAAATGACATCCATTATCTTCAAGCCGCTTATTAATAGTGAGAATCCAAGCAAACCGGAATTAATCCCGGAAGCACTGGGAGCAAAGCCCGTCCATCACAGAGCGCGCGCGCAGTTTGTGGACACCAGCGTGTGTTTTGGAAGGAGGGAGAGAACCCACGCGGTCATATAAAGAACGTGCAAGGTCCACTCACACGGGAGTCCTGGACACAGGTCTTGTGAGATAGAAACTCTAGCAACCCGGCTACCTCGCTGGAGTACTGGTTTGTTTTTAACTTGTCGTTATAAAAACGACAATGTTTGTTGTACAGAAATGTAGGAATTACACAACTTCATCATGAATGAACCGAAAGCGGATAGCTCGCTGTTACAGCGCCACGCCTGGCCAACCGGAGAAGTACAGCATGCGACGTGGTTGTGGACCGGCGGCCGCTACCTGCGATCAGCGGGGTCACTTAGGTTCGGATACCAGGGTCCTGTACGCTGGTGCCACAGTTTCCCAGGAGCTTAAATCGAGCCTCTCAAGACCTGCCCCTTACACGCGAGGTCAGTTCCGATACTTTCAGTCTGTTTCACCCGAGTCTATACGGGCTGTATGGTTAGGGTTGTTTTTAAAACAGTGGTGGCCTGGCGTATCGAAAGAGTGATAGGATGTCACGGCCTGCGGGTCCTTATTAAATGAGATGTATTTGCGCGTGTATGTAGGAGGGTCCCGTAGCAAAACACTCGATTCGTCCATGATCTAGTTTAAATGGCGTGCGTGTACGAGCCTGGTCTCAGGGATCTGTGAAATCAATCTACCGCCCTGCCACAGTTCGCATCTTTCCGACACTGAAGGGGCATTTAACAGCCTGCTCGTGTGCCGGCGGCTGTCTCCCAGGCGGCTGGGTTGCAGCACGTCACCGCCCCGGCTAGCAGGAGCGCTCCGGCAGCGGCGACAGAGTGGGATGTAGGATTGAGGCTCGGTGCGTTCATTCCGACAAAATGAAGAAATCGAGCCGCGACAGCGTTTCCTTCTCTCGGTTTTTTTATTTGAAAAAACAAAAAAGAGAGAGAGGGGTTACTGACGACTCTCTCACCTGCGCGGGGCGCTTTTCTCTTCACTCTCATCCAGTCGAAAGTTTTGCTGCTGCTGCAGGGCCCCCCGTCGCCTCCGCCGCCCGGCCGCGGACTCGCCCCGCCCGCCAGGGCCGGTTCGGCCCCTTCCTGAGCGCACGCCTGGGGGTGCTGGTCGAGCGGCCCCAAGCCGGAGAGCAGCCCGGAGAAGCTCGCCGGGAGGTCGGCGCTGGACGTGTAGGCGGCCCCGCTGTAGTAGTCCAGGTCGGGGGGGTTCCGGTAGGGGTGCCGGAGGTAGGCTGGTGCGGAGGGGTACCCCTGGCCGTGCGAGAAGGCGGCTCTAGCAGGTGTCCCGGGACCTAAGGCGACCTGCAGGCTCCCCGCGTGGAAAGCGCAGGTGGTGGAGAAGTCGCGGGCAGGCGGAGGAGAGGGCTTGTCGGGGGAGAAAGGTGAGGGGAACCCCGCGCCCACCACGTAGCGCCCTTCGCCCCCACAGCCGGCTTTAGGAAGCGGTCTCTGGTCGAAGTGCTGGAGCCTCACCTCCGCCGCTGGGTAACCGCCGGCGGCCTGGGCGCCCGGGTCCCCGCCGCACGCGAACTCTTGGTAGGAATTCATCGCGACTGCCGCCCGCGCATCGTCTCCTCGCGCAGACTCGGGTCGAGCAACTCTGATCGGTCCCACTCCGGCCTGCCTGTCAGGCTCTTCACAGGAGCATCTCCCGGGCCTCGGTCGGCGGGTGGTGATGGTGCGTGTGTGTGTGTGTGTGCGGGGGGGGGGCGATTCGATCCGTGATTGAAGGAGATGACGCACCGCTCACTTTGGCCAATGGCCAGCATCACGGGCCCCCCCTCCCCTCCCCTCTCCCCTCTCCCCTCTCCCCTCTCCTGCTGGGATGGGATACTTTGATGGACTTAATGGAAGCGATTTATAACTTTCACTCACTGGCGCACGGCAAGGAAGGCTGGGATCCCGAGGAAGGAAGGGAAAAAAAAATCCAAAACAAAACAGAACATCCCACGTACCGTTTCTGTTTTAAACAGCGCCATACCGGGGTGACCTCGAAGGGACACCCGCGACTGGAGCTGGAGGCTGGCTGAGTCACCCCAGAGGTGAGTCGAGAAACACCCTGCCACTGCCCCGGTGTGGGGGGTGCCACGGATAGTTAACAGCAACACAACGGGGAGATAAGAATGGACTTTATTCAAATGTGGAGCTTGTTCCGGGAGTACAGAGGCACAGACTTGAGACTTTACTACCAGGCGTAGATACAGTAGCAAGCACAGACGCAGCTGAAGGTCTGCGGTCTTAACAGAGAATGTTAAACAAAAGGACTCGTTTTGCCAGCTAATTCTGTCGACTCGGACCGTCCTGCTCCTTCAGAGTAAGAGAAACTGCCCCGAGGGGCTTCTCCTTCGGCCTCGGTCCGGGCCCCGCGGCCTACACCCGAGTCAGAGCCTTCGCGAAACTTGGAAGCGCGTCCACGTAACCTGCAAGAGCGGCACGGAGCTGAGCGATGATGACACTGCAGGTACAGACAGTTACGTGACTGAAGGAAAGTGACGTGACGTTTTTCAGTGCAGGCTGGTGTGGACCTCCGTGTGGAATAGAAAAATCTTTTTTTTTTTATCCAGCGTGTGGTTTAATTCATCACACCGTTGCCATAAATTCACAAATCCGATTTCTTTCCATTCAGCAGATAACTCAGGGGATTGCGAGATCAAATCAACCTGGGCGTTTTATGCACTCTATCCCACGCAGAAATGACGCTTTGACCTTTTATACCCTTGACAGGCGCGTAACGTGAAACCAGTTCACTTATTCTCTTATAAAGGCATATTTCTTTGTTTTGTACTTCACAGAACACAGTTGTTGTTGTTGTTGTTTGTTTGTTTGTTTTTGCCGTACCACTGATTTTTATTCCCAGAATTAAGCGAATACACGATAATAACCTGGATAAACGAAAGGGTTCAGAAATTCTTTAATAAAATAAGCAGAAGGCTGGACGGGGCGCACTGAGACTCGCCCTTGTTGCGCGTGCAGAATCCCGGGCACCTGGTCCACGCGACACCCTTTCAGAGGGCTGCAAATCGGTGTCGCGAGACGAAAACTGCAAGCACGCACGGCAATAATACGATAGCGAAATGCCGGGCGGGAGAGAGAGAGAGAGGAGTCGAGTCCAGAAGCACCTGAGACAGGTGGCGGGCCCAGGGGCTCGGGGCGTGTGCGAGTCCTTAGTGTTTTCAGAAAGGGTGTGCGAAGGCACCAGCCCGTGCGAGAGAGGCGAGGACTGGAGAGAGACAGATCCCTCCTGCAGGTTCTGACCATGAGGGTTTATGTCAGCTAACGCCGGGAGAACGTGGCCCTACATATGCACGGTCAAACTTGTTTGTTTGAATTATTTCATTCAGCTAATGGGTTAAATAGTCAGAGTATGCTTTGGGGGGTAGCTGGGTCGGATACCCCGTTATCTTGATTATAGCACGAAAAACGAACTCTCACTTGATGTCTGAATTCTCTCCAACTTCCTTTCGTCTTTAAGTGTCCGTCTTCCAAAGTATCGCGCTGCACTGTTCAGCGGGACTTGGTCTTTGTTGATCTGGGGTTGTAAGTTCATATTGTGTTTTCTATTATTTCGGGTTTCCCCCCAGTAATCATCTAAAACTCTTTATCGGAGTCTCCTGTCTTTTAGATACCCGCAAATCAAACAAGACAAGGTTGGAAGGCCGGAGCAAAACATTTTACTCTTCTAGAATTAATTATTCAATTTATTTTATTTTGATTTCTCCCGGAGAAGTGAAGAGCGTCTCTTAAGTGTGGTGACGAGTGTGTGTGAGTGTGTGTGCCGTGTCCTTCTGTTAGTCATACATCATCGTGACAGCCCCCGAACTCCGCTGCGGCTGTTGAAACTCGGGAAAGTCTTTCAAGATGGATCTATCTCCCCATAGCAAACTGACATATGGGGTCGACGCTTTTGTAACCGAAACTCGTTTTATTAAATGATCGTGTGTGTTTTTAATAACGCAAATATCTGGAAATAAACTTCTGCGCGCTGCTTGGATCTTTCCCGGCCCGGTCTGTCAAACTGTCAGCACTGCTCCGTGTTTACACAGCCTGCTACTGTCTCTCCGCGTGGGTCTGCGATATACTGTAAAATATCTCCACTAATCGCCCCTACTCCCACCGGGCCGGGAGCAGTGTGAACCAGATTGCAGTCAGAGAGACACCCCAGTCCCCTTTGTAAAATGATGTGCAAATCAAAGCCGAGACACGAGAAAATGAGTTAGCAGGTGACTTGCATCGTAAGTGCTGCAAAAACAACAACAATAATAAGGTTACGACCTAAAGCGATATTCTGATATGAAGCGCCATAAAATCATCACCACCATAAGCAGAAGTAGCAGCAGTATCCACGGTGTCACATATCTGGAATCCATTTCTGTAGATAGGCCGTACTGTATATATCATTTCTGTGCAGCACTACCTACTACTCTCTTATCCTGTAAAACAAAGGGCAGGCTGTGCATCGGTCATAGAATAGTTATTAGAAAACAGAAACGATAGTTATTAGAAGACAAAACGGCTCCAGCCTCGTAGCACCTTCTGGATTTAAAAAAAATCAACCGACTGTCTGGAATTTTTTTTAAAACACTTAAATTTCTCAAACAGTTAATTTCCTATTTACTTGACTGACGCCAGAATTTTAGGTTTCTTCTAGTCCTATAATTAGAAATAATATTTGGAGAGTATGGCAGGCCTACCTTAAATAAAAAAACCGAATTAATAAAAACGTATAGAAATTACCTGTCCATGCATTTAAACGAAGGCTATTCGCAATTGACGAATTATTTAAATGCCAGAGATATCGATGCATGTTTTCTCTTAAGCTCTGGCGTTTAAGGGTCTGTTTTGTAAAACGTGCTCTTTACAACTTCAGGGGGATTAAAAGACCAGCTCTCCACCTCTTGCAATTAACATGCCGGATTCATAAAATATTAAAGTGCAAAGTCCGGAATTGATTTTATGCACATATACTCAGCCCGTGCTGAATTTAGTTTGCATGTGTTATCCCCCCGAACTCCCTCGCGCAGGCACTCAGATGGAGAGCGCGCGCCCGGGCCTGCGCCCTCGTCTCCCATCTGTTCGCTACTAGAGCGGGTCTGAAACGTCATTAATATTTAGAAACATTTTTTCCTTCTTCTTGCTTAATTTTACCATACACCCGTCGAGAGCACTTCAACCCCCCGCCCCCCCCAACACCACAAACATGCGAGACAGTCTGAGACCACTCTGCCCTACGCGTAGTGTTTTTTAACACGTCCTTTCAGGACCAAGCGATATAAAATTAACATTTTGTATTTCTTCTTTACCCCTTATACGACCTTTTTTTTTCTAATGAAGACACCTTCGTTTATTTTGAACGAAAACGTTTGCTACTTTCACACACATTTCCGGGTAAATATATAACACATACGGTGACCCGTATTCTCCGTACAGCCTAGATCCGAAATTATTTTGGTGAGTTAAAAGGTGATCAGCTTCATCTTTGTCGTACAAATAGTGAACATAAGTTTACACAACCCAGCACCGTGTGAATTCAGCTGTTCGGGTGGTAGAAAAATTCGCCAGAGGCGAATAGATATTTCCAGATATTTTCCTACAAAGCCTCCGGGAGAGAGGAGCTCATAAAGGGTCGCGCCATCACTTTGTCCCGTGTGGAGTTTAGTACTAAACGCCCAAACTTACACACACACAAAAACACGTAGCGTTTAAACAAAAAATCCCCAGTTCGGTAATGTGTGCAAGTTAAATGTTTTTCTCTGTGGATTTTATCAATCTCGGCAAGAGGTTATTAAACAAGTCCACGACAAAATAAAAAATTATTACATTTCTATAGATGACCGAATCAAAACTGAAATCTCTCTCTCTTGACACTGTCTCGCTTTTGATACAAAATATGTAAACTCTTTTCTGATTGTATGCTAATTTGACGATTGACTCGATTGAATTTGCTGATCTCAATCAACATTTGCTGATCAACTCTGAATTTGTGTCCTTTCGAGGATTTCGCGTGTTTGTGATGATTAAAAATGACCTGCTATTTATTAAAGTTATATAAAACGATACTAGTCTGAAATCCCCGAATTTCAATTTTCGATGGTATTTTAGTTCTCACGAAAAAGGCATCGGCAATAGGGTTACTGACACGAAAGCCTTTGTGCATTTAGTCTTCTATGCTGTTTTCAGCAGGAGCGAAGGCCCTTTTATAATAATAAATAATAAAGTTTATTTTATGTAGCACCTTTAAAACTGACTTCACAAAGTGCTTAAATTAAGATTTTTCTATAAAATAACAAAAAATGCCCAAAGTGCCTATTTTGAACGCATAGGAAGAAAGAAAACGAAATGCAAGGAAGTGTTTTTGAGAGTGTTAGCGTGTATGTCCCAGTGTGTGTGTGACCACCTTTCCAAAGGTTGAGGGGTCACGACAGCTGCCGTTTAGCGGTTCATCGGCAGGTCAGGTCGTAATTAGAGGCTGCCCGGGTTTCCTCCGCGCTTCGTGTGTGAGAGAGTCTCTGTGCTTGATCCTGACACAGGATGTAATTCAATTCCATCCAAGGGAAGACAAAAACCGAAGACCCTCCCTCAAGCTGAAAGCAACAGTGTTTCCCGACGCCGCTTCATTTGCAGTAGATGTCTGTATTAATCGCAGTTTTTTTTTCGATTTTATTTGTATTATTTATTACGCATTTTTTACGTTACCCCTGGAAGGCGTTTACGAAGACTTTATCTGTGAATTGTCCACAGAAAGCATAATACAAAGGAGCTCCTGAAACAGAAA